CCGGCCGGCAGGACGGACGGCACCAAAGTCAACGAGTGCGACGCGTCATCGGCGCCCGGGGCGCCGGACGGCATGGCGCCATCCCGGCCAGCAGGGCACCCGCCGGCCGGGCCGGGCGGCTGCAGGTTGATCAGACGCCCGGCCGCGCACAGCCACCCAAGTGCCCAGGAACCCAAGCACCGGGTGGGGGCCTTCTTGCCGGGCCCAGAAGACTTGAGCCCCACGCCGAACCCCAGCGAGGGGGCCATATTCAGCGGCGACCGCAACGTCCGCACCAGCGGCATGATGACCAGCGCGTCGGAGGCCGACGCGAGATCGGAAGAGCGTCGTGCACGCCGAACCCCAGCGAGGGGGCCATATTCAGCGGCGACCGCAACGTCCGCACCAGCGGCATGATGACCAGCGCGTCGGAGGCCGACGCGCCCACCGGGGCACTGGGCACCGTCGGCAACAGGCGCCCATCGGCCCCGGGCCCGGCCGGCCAGGCGAAGGCCGGCGGCAGGAAGGCCGACACCGCGCCGCATGCGATGGCCGCCGCGGCCATGACCACGGCCGAGAAGCTGGCCACCACGGCGAGCGCCAAAGTGGCAAGGGGATATGAGTGTCAGGGGGGGGGGGGGGAGGCGCAGGGCAAGCATCAGGAGACCCGGCAAATCGGCCAGGCCCAGGGAGGTGGGGAACGCACTCGGCGAGAATCGCAATGCTGGCCGCCAGAATCGAGGCCCAAAAGAGGCGAGCCATCCAGGAATTCAGCTTGCGGTGGGTGTATGCTGTGTGTGTTGCCGGGAGGGGGGAAGAGGCGGAGGGGGGAGCAGCAACAGAGACCGAGGAAGAGTGGGCGGAGAGACCAGCAGGATGGAGGGCGAGCCGCGGGGCAAACGCAAACAGGCGCAGAGACCAGGACAGAACCCATGAAAGGCAGGGGCGAGGGAGAGAGAGAGAGAAAGAGAGAGGGTCAGACGGGAGGAGGGGCGGCGGAAAAAAAAACACCGACCAGACGCACCAGACACATTGCTCCGCGTGACCGAGGTGCTGCTCGGGATCGCGCACAACAGGTGCGTCAGGATGCGCGCCGCGATCGACGCCAGTGCGGCGGTCGTCAACAGCAGAGCCGCCAGCCCCGGCATGCCGGCCAGAGCCCGCGCCCAGGCCAGGAGCGGGTTGTCCAGCGACCGTGGCGCCAGTGCGAGCACCGCCGCGGCGCCCGGGTCAAGCCCCTCGGGCCCCGCGCCGGTCGGCAGATGGCAGACCACCGACAGCAGCGCCAGCCCGAAGGAGCCCACCGCCGCCAGGTACCCCGCCTGCCGGGATACCGTGCGCACATACTTCCGCCGGACGGCCTTCAGCACCAGGGCATATTCGGCGCCAGGGTCGGCCGGGGGCATTGCCGGCACGGGAGCCACCCCGCCGGACCCAGCGGCCGAGCGCATCCCGGGCCCTGACGACGCCCCGAGCGCATAGCCCCCTGGGCGGTAGTCCGTGGCGCCGGCACCCGAGGAGGCCGATGCTCGCGGTACGTCGTATGCGCCGCCGCCGCCGCCGCCGGTGCTACCACCGCCGGTGTTGGACATCGGGCCGCTCGAGCCGTAGTATGACCCGCCAGCCGTCGACGGAAGGGGCGAGTGCGAGTAGCCGCCGAAGCCCGGCCCGGAGGACAGGCTGCCACCGCTGCCGCCGCCGCCGCCGCCGCCGCCACCGCCGCCAGAGCCATAAAAGAAGCCCTGGCCGCTGACCGGCTGGGAAGAACCGAAACCGGAGGAGACTCCCAGCGATGCGGGGTACCCCGAAGGCGACAGCAGCCGGTCGGCATGCGGGAACCCGGACGTGGCCATTGCCGTGGACCTGCCGAAGACGGGGGGGGGGGGGGGGGAGAGCGGCGGCGAAGACCAAAGGAGGTGAGGAGACACCCTCCGGAAGCCGAGAAAGCGAGGGGAGGAGGGGCAGGGGGCCGCGGAGAAGCCAGCAAACGCGCGCGATGGGGGGAGGGGGGAGGCAGGAGCGAGAGAAAGAGAGGGAGAGGAAGACAGGCGAGGAGGAGGAGGAGGAGGAGAGAGTAGGGAGATCGATGCTGGGTGGGTCTCCGGTACTCGGGGGAGGCGGCACGCCTCTATGGTCTGGGGGTCCGGCGGAAAAATCAGCCCGCATCCCTGCGCGCAGGTTTAGAGCCTAAATCCCCCCTCCCGCGAGTGTGAAGAGGGAATGCCAAACCCGGCGGGAGGGCGCAGCGCCAGCCGCGAGGGGAGGCACCAAGGAGGGGAACACGGCCCGGGATGTGGCCAGAGCCCCCCCGGGCGGGGTGGATCACCGTCGCCCGCGCGCGCGCGCATGAGCGCACGGCTCCCCCCACCCGGCCTCGCGAACAGGCCAGAAGGGAGACCCGCCGCCGGACGCGCCAGTGGACAAGCCCCGAGAGTGGGCAGTTCGGCCTGGGCGCGCAGCCACCTTTTCCGCCGAGACGCCGCCGCGCGGGGCCAGGCCAGCGCGGCAGGAGGAGGCCAAGAAGCCGACGCGCCGCCAAATGTCCGGGCTCCTGTGCCGTGCGAAAACCCACGGAATCGGATCGTCTCCCGGGCCTCGCGCCACCGGCCCGGAGAGAACGGCCGCCCCACGCCCGGCAACACCGCCCGACGATGGAGCGCCGGGCGTGCTAGATCGCGAAGCGCTGGCACATCGATGCCGCGTCTTGTTTTGTAGAACGCTAGAAGTGGCATTCCGTTCTGGAACTGCCACACCGTTGACGGACGGAGATCCGCCGCCATTTGTCCCGGCTCCCAGGGCCAGGGCAGCCCCGTTGGGCGTGTCGGCTGTCTTCCACGGTGGGCGCGCGGGAGGGTGGGGGGGGGGGGGGGGGGGGGGGGGGGGGGGGGGCGGGGGGGGGGGGCGGGGGGGGCCAGGGGGCCGGGGGGGGGGGGGGGGGGGGGGGGGGGGGGGGGGGGGGGGGGGGGGGAGGCGGGGGGGGCGGGGGGGGGGGGGGGGGGGGGGAGGGGGGGGGGGGGGGGGGGGGGGGGGGGGGGGGGGGGGGGGGGGGGGGCACGCACGTCCACCTGGCCGTGGGTTTGGGGGGGGGGCTGTGTTGCCTGGGTGCCTTTGGCGCGGGCAGGGCCCCGAGACACCCCTGGACCTCAAGGGGAGGGGCGGGGGGGGGCTGCGCTGGACATCCGGAAGGGGGTGCAGCGCGCGCCGCGTGCCGGCCCTTGGCGCAATCACCCCGCTCGTGCGATCTCCCACCTCAGCACGTCCACCCCCGGGGCTGGCAGAGGTGCGGCGCCGCAGACGCGCGGATGCCCCCCCCCCCTTGCTGCGGAGATCGTCCTGGCCTCCCTGCTTTTTGCCTCTCTACTTCCCCCACTTCTCGGGCCGATCTCCATGCTCCCCAGCACGCCCCCGCGGCCGGCGGCCGGTGCCCCCTTTTTCGGCCAGCGATCCTACGCCCCGAGGCGACCGCCGGGGCGCCCTTCCGCCGAGCCCAGTCCCACCGATCAAGCATCGTACGACCAGGCGTTCCTCCTCCTCCTCCTCCTCCTCCTCCTCCTCCTCCTCAGCCTCCTCACTTCCGCCCCCCACGCACACACTCACTCACTCCCCTCCCCCCCCCACACACACCCACACACACAAACACACAGGACGCTGCCAGCTCCAAGAACATCATGACCGACACCACTACCCCCGTCGCCGCCACCGAGCCCGTGGTCGCCGCCACCGCGGAGACCCCCGCCGCCACCCCCGCCGCCACCCCCGCCGCCAAGCCCAAGAAGGAGAAGCCCGCCAAGAAGGACAAGGCCCCGGCCGCCGGCAAGGACAAGGCCGCCGGCAAGGACAAGGGCCAGACCGCCGTGGCCGGCGGCGTGGACGCCGACAAGACCACCGCCTTCAACGACTGGTACCAGCAGGTCATCACCCGCGGCGAGCTCATCGACTACTACGACATCTCCGGGTGCTACATCCTCCGCCCCAACGCCTTCGCCATCTGGGCCGCCATCCAGAAGTGGTTCGGCGGCGAGATCGCCAAGCTCGGCGTCGAGGATGCCTACTTCCCGATGTTCGTCTCCAAGGCCCGCCTGGAGCTGGAGAAGGACCACATCGAGGGCTTCGCCCCGGAGGTGGCCTGGGTCACCAAGTCCGGCGACTCGGACCTGGCCGAGCCGATCGCCGTCCGCCCCACCTCCGAGACCGTCATGTACCCGGCCTACGCCAACTGGATCCAGTCCCACCGCGACCTGCCCCTGCGGCTGAACCAGTGGTGCAATGTCGTCCGCTGGGAGTTCAAGCATCCCCAGCCCTTCATCCGCACGCGCGAGTTCCTCTGGCAGGAGGGCCACACCGCCTTCGCCACGCTGGAGGAGGCCGCCGCCGAGGTCCTCCAGATTCTGGACCTCTACGGTCGGGTGTACACCGACCTGCTGGCCGTGCCCGTGGTCCCGGGCAAGAAGTCCGAGAAGGAGAAGTTCGCCGGTGGCTACTACACCACCACCGTCGAGGCGTTCATCCCCACCACCGGCCGCGCCGTTCAGGGCGCCACTTCCCACTGCCTTGGGCAGAACTTCGCCAAGATGTTCGACATCACCTTCCAGGACCCGGCCAACCCGACCGGCGACAAGCTCCACGCTTGGCAGAACTCCTGGGGCCTGACCACCCGCACCATCGGTGTCATGATCATGGTCCACGGTGACAACAAGGGCCTGGTCCTGCCCCCGCGCGTGGCCTCCACCCAGGTCGTGGTCATCCCCTGTGGCCTGACCGCTCGGACGTCCGAGGAGGACCGGCAGAAGCTCCTGGCCAAGGTGGCCGAGGTCCAGGCCGCCCTGGCCGACGCCGGTGTCCGTGTCAAGACCGACGTCCGTGACAACTACACCGTCGGCTGGAAGTTCAACAACTGGGAGATGAAGGGCACCCCGGTGCGCATTGAGATCGGCCCGCGCGATCTGGCCAACGGCCAGTGCGTCGCCGCTCGTCGTGACACCGGCGACAAGGCCACCCTCTCGCTGGACACCCTGGCCACCGAGATCCCGGCCCTGCTGGACACCATCCACAATGACATGCTGGCCCGCGCCACCGCCGAGCGCGATGCCCACATCCTGACCACCATCACCTGGGCCGACTTCACCGCCGCCCTGGCCAAGAAGTCCATGGCCCTGGCCCCCTGGTGCGAGGAGGTTGCCTGCGAGGAGGAGGTCCGCCGTCGGTCGGCCATCACCGCCGCCGCCGAGAGCGCCGAGTCCGACGAGAAGGCCCCCAGCATGGGCGCCAAGTCCCTGTGCATCCCCTTCGCCCAGCCCGCCGACCAGGACATCTCCAAGCATGTGTGCTTCCAGTGCGGTGCCGCCGCCAAGAGCTTCACCCTCTTCGGTCGCAGCTACTAAATTCACACGCCCGACACGCCCAAACCGCCGCCACATGGGGGCAGGGCCGGCGAGCGAGGCCCGGGAGCGGCACGCGGGGGGGGGGGGGCCCTCTCTGATGCCCGGGGTGGGGATGTGACTCCAGCCCTCTGTCCCCCCCCCCCCAGGGATGCGTTTTCTGCCGACCGAGGTCGATGGGGATGCCGGTCAGGGCAGGCGTGCCCCGCCTGGGAACGCAGAAAATGTGCTCCCTCCTGCGGCTCGCGCGTCCCTGTTTCGGGCGCGAGCAAAAAGATCTATGGCTGAGTTTTTGGGGGCTGGGCGAACACGCCATTCGATCCCCCCCATGCTTGCCTGTTTGTGGGCAGCCTTGTGTTTTTGTCTAGATGCCTGCCTGTTGGTCAGCATGCGTGCCTCTTTGACTCCATGCGTGCGCGCCTGTCTGCTTGCCAGCCGCTCCGGGGGCCGAGTGGGGAGGGGGCGGGGGGGGCCCCAAAACCCCTGGCCGGCCTGCGCCCGCCTGGTTCCCGGGCATGCACCCCCCCCCCCTCCCCTCCCCCCCGTTCCTCTTCCCTTGTCTGTTGGATGGGGAGGGGCGCTCTGTTCACACCGCGCCAGGGGGGGGGAATGTCCCTTCCTCTGTCCCCGTCCCTCTGCCCGAAGCTGCGGCAAAACACGCCAGTCAAACAAGAATACACTGTGTCCCCCCCCCATCGTTTCTCTCCTTCCTCCCCCACTTGTCTCGGATGCAATGCCCCACCCGACGCGCCCCAGGCGAAGAGGAGGCACGCCTACACCGGATGCCCGGCAGCCACTTTACCCGCGCGTCGAAGGGGGCAGAGACCCATCGGGGAATGTATTGCTCGACATATTGCCCCCCCCCCCCGCCGGGATGGACGTTCGCCCATTGGGGTACCATTCATGGACGGCAGAGGGCGGCACGAGCGACGAGGGGGGGGGGGCGCGCTTGCCGAGCGAGCGAGGGGTGGCGAGGAGAAGCCAGACCGACGCGCGCACACACACGCGCACGCACGCACGCACGCACACACACACACACGTAGACAGGGAAAAGCCAAGGAAAGGAGGACATTGTGGTGACGGGGAAAAGGAGGGGCAAGTACACCACCACGATCCCCGAGAAGGGGGAGGGGGAGGATGGCCGTGATGGCAAGGAGGGAGCAGGGGCGGGGCGGGGCGGCTCTCGCACTGCGCTCGCAAGCACACACACACGCACACACATACACACATACACCCCCCCCCCCCCCTTTGCCCCGGTGCTTTTTCCCGCCCACACCAGGCAACTGGGCCTTTCACCGGAACTGCGACGGGCCACGCGGCTTGAGCGAGGCACCAAACATGCTGGCCGCCGCCGACACCGAGGTCACGCCGCTGCTGGTGTCAATCTCATGGCCGGAGTCCTGCGACGAGCCGGAGGCCGCCTCGGGCGTCGACGACGAGGAGGCCGCAGCCGCCGGGGGCGGCGGCCGCGCGAACCCCGCCCGCGGCCCGAAGTTCGGCCCACCGCCGGCAGTGGGCTTCTCCGGCAGTGGGGGCTGCGGCCGAGCCATGGGCTTCGGCGGGGGAGCCATCGCCGCCTCGCTGCCCCCACCGAAGGCCGGACGCGGCTTCGGCGGAGGAGCCATCGCCGCCTCGCTGCCCCCGCCGAAGGCCGGACGCGGCTTGACCGGCGGCGCGGCCAGCTCGCTGACCGCCGTCGATGGCGCCGACGCGAACACCGGCGAGGAAGGCTTGTTCGGTGGCACCGGCGGCGGCGAGCCGGCCGGCGAGCCGGGGGGCGAGGTGAACGGCGACCCACCCCCGCCCGGCATGGTGGTGGTCTTCACCGGCGGCGGGACAAAGCCCCCGGTGGCGTAGGCCGGCTTGGCCGGCACCGAGGGCTTCGGCGGGGGGGCCGGCCCGCCGCCAAAGGCCGACACCGGCTTCTCCCCGCCGGCCGCCGATGATGACACCGCCGCCGCAAACGGCGAAGCGGGCTTCCCTGGCCCCGGGCCCGGCGCCGCATCACCCGGCGCCGGGCCAGCCAGGGCCAGAATGGCCGCCATCACATCGGACGGCGCCTCGGTCGACAGACCGGTGGGCTTGGCCGGCTTGGCCGGCTTCTTCGGCGGCGGCACCGGCGGCGTGGAAGGGGTCGTCACGGCCCCCGGCTCGCTCGGCGGCAAGTCCCCCGTGGAGATGGTGGCCACGCTGGCCTTCATCGGCCCCGGGGCGAAGGAGCTCACATCCTCCGCCACGACCGCCGTGTAGATGGACTCGCGATGGCTGGGCCGCGGCTTGGGCGGCACGGCCCCAGGACCCGACTCGGACCCGGTCGCCACGGCCGCCGGAGCAGCCGCAATCTCATTGGCATACTCTTCCTCCTCCTTGCGCTTCTGCTGCTGGATCTCCTGCTCCTTCTCCACGAGCTTCTTGAACCCGGAGGTACCCCCACGCATGACCTCCTCGAAGGCCTTGCGCCCGGCGGCCTCGGCGTCGGCCTTGGACGCGCCGGCGGCCGTGGCCTCGCGAATGGCCACCCGCTGGGCACGCTTGGCCTGCATGCACATGCACATGCACATGCACAGCAGCCCAGTGGCGACAGCACCGGCCGGCGACCGGGACCCGCAAGCCGATGGTCAATACGATGCAACCGCCAAAGCGAATACCACGACCAGGCAAAACACCATCGCCCGCCCCCTCCCCGAAGCCCGGGAGACCACAGGCGCGCGGGCGAGAAAAACCCAGGCCCACAACAGCCACAGGCAGCAGAGCATGGGACAGCAGCACGCACCTCGGCGTCCAGCTGCGCGGCATTCAGCTCGCGCAGGGCCCGGCGATCGCCATCCATGCGCAGCAGACGCTGGTCCACGCGATCCGGGTTGGCCACCACGAAGCGCCGGTTGTGCGCGTCATTCATGGTCTTGGCCCAGAGGTCAATCTCATCCTGCGAATCGGCGCTGAAATAGATCAACGCCGGCGGCACGATGTCGGCATTGGTGGCCGCGCTGTTGCTGTTCACCGGCCGCGGCTTGGAGGGGATCGGCGCCCAGGCATCACCGAGCGACAGGCGCGACCGGTGGCGCAGCGCAAACCCGAAGTTGGTCGGCTGCTTCGAGCGACGAACCGAGAAGTGGTACAGCTCGTAGTCGGTCCAGTCACAGAGGAAGGTCTCGCCAGCGAGCTGGACCCCCCCCCCCGCACACAGGCCAGGCACGGGTTCCCGAGAGAGAAAGAGAGAGAGAGAGAGAGAGAGAGGGAGAGGGGGAGGGAGGGAGAAAGAGGAAAGGCAGCCGCGGCAAGCCGGGACAGGGGAAGGGGGCAAGGTCATGAGGGGATCAGTGGCCGAAGTCCGGGCAAAGTCCAAAGTGGCACGCGCATCAGAGGCACACGAGGCGGCCGCAGCGGCCGGGACGCACGCGCGTGTCCGAGAAGTGGTACAGGCCGGCCTGGCGGAGCTCGAAATACCGGCGAGCCCACTTGCCGGTGCCGGAGTTCGGCGGCAGCGGCGTCGGGTCCGGGCCGTCCGACGGATGCAGGGCCGGCACCTGGGTGCCGGTCTCAAAGTGGAAGGTCCCGTTGACCATGCTGAATTCCGGGATGTAGCCCGTGATCGGGCCGGCCCCCTTCGGCGTCGGCCGCAGGGCAATGTAATTCGAAGAGTACCGCTCCCAGCTGTCCATCACGCTGAGAACACACTCAAAGGGCCGGAGGGGGCGCTCTGTCGGCCCACATGTGTGCACGGCCACGCGGGCCGGGAGAGACAGAGAGAGAGGGGGGGGGGGGAGGGAGAGAGGGCCCCGCACAACGGGCAGACCCCCGCAAGCAAACGGACAACCCGGCATGTTAGACCTCAGGCGGCTTGACAGGGTGCGCGCACGCGCGAACCGCAACCCGGCACATGATGGGAGGACCCCCCGGGAGGGGGGGGGGGGGGGCGGATCGGCTCCCAGGGCGCGAGGCCCACGCACCGATGCCATAATCGGCGCACACCTCAAAGAGGACATACGCGCCGCGAGTGTACTCCAGCAGGTGACGCTCGCAGGCGTGGCGAATGGCCTTCAAAGGCGGGGAGGAAGAGCGGGGACAGGACGAAAAGAAGAAAGAGAGAACCGACCGATGTTAGAACGGCATGGCGGGGGCGGCAGGGCAGGTAAGGGGGGGGGGGGGGGGGGGGGGGGCCCCCGGCGCGAGTCGCTCCGTCGCGCGTGTCCCCCCTGCCTCCCCCGGGCCCTGGTGCAGCATACCTCCTCCATGGACATCTCCGAGGTCAGGGTGCAGGTCTTGTACTCGCCGCCTTCGGTCTGGAGCAGGGCGCTCGAGGCGCCTCGGCGGAAGGAAGACAGCAGCCCGCCGCTGCTGGGGGCGGGCGCGGCCGCGGCGTCGCCCTCGGCCGGGCGGCGATAGAACACACGGATGTGGGACTTCCGCACGCTGGCGGCCTTCATGCGCTCCAGGGCCGCCTCGATCTCCGCGTCGCGGACCTTGGCCCGGGCCTCCGGATCGTGGTCCTTGGCGATGTCATCGACAATCTTGTCCAGCCCGGACAGGATGTCATCCTGGGGGGGAGGAAGACACCGAGCCGAGGGCATACTGGTTAGATGGGGCAATGGGGTGGCGGAGGGAGCGGGCGCTCCCGCTCGCCCTCCCAAGGCAAAGGATCCGGCAGCGCACCATGTTGCCGGTGATGTCGATGACGATGTCCTCCTCGGGCTCGAGGGGAGGCGTGGCCGAGGGGGGGAGGCCGCCGGCGGCGGCACGCGCCGCCGCAGTCTCGGCGCGCGAGAGCACGCGCACGCCCGGCGCCGCAGCCGCGGCCAGCGTCGCCAACGAGGACTCGGCCGGCGCCGCGGCCGGTGCCGGAGCCGCGGCAGGGGTCGGGTCGGCGGGGAGCTATGGCCAAGCGAGAGGGGAGAGAGAGAGAGAGGGGGGGGGGGCGGTGTCAGCACGAGACACAGGGCGAGGCACTGAGTGGGGGAGAGGGAGAGAGGGCAGGGGTGGGACACACCATGTCGGCGAATTCCTGGTTCCGGCAAAGGGGCAAAGATGTGTTAGTGATCATGCCGAGAGGAAGGCCACCAAGAGTCAGCCAGCCAAGCGCAGGAGGGGAGACACACCAGGTCCAGAGAGGCAAGCTGCTCGGCCAGACTGCCCATCAGGGCATCGAGCTCATCAACACCGGCCATGGCTGTGGGCGGACTTCAGGAAAGGCGGCAGGCGAGGAGAAGGAGGAGAGAGACGGGCGGGGGGGGGAGGGGGGGGGGGGGGGGCGCACGGGGGGGGGGGGGGGGGGGGGGGGGGGGGGGGCCGGAAGGGGGGGGGGGGGGGGGGGGGGGGGGAATTGTCGCGGCAACCCGCGACGG